TTAAGAGAGGCGGCAAGTTGAATTCATATTTTTTGGAAGTGAGAGAAGATGAGTTCACTGAGACAGCAAATAGGGCAAGAGAAGAACCAAATGCTCATATATCATTCGTTGTTCATTTTTTAAAATGATTTTATCACCCATCATTAATTTTCTCCATTTGCTTTATCTCTTTATCTTGTATGCTCATTGTCTCTCCAAATGTTTGTGTGTCTGACACATTTATTTTACTAAATCAATTGAAAGTAAGATGCAAAGATAATGAGATTTGCCCCTAAGTACTTCTCTTATGTAAACACAGTATAACCACTTCCAAGGGATTTAACATGATAGTTTACATTCTTATTTCTCAGTTGTCCCCAAAGTGTCCTTTATAGCATTTGATGTGTGTGTCTGTGGGGGGGGGGGGGGGGGGGGGGNTCATGCAGTAGAATTTTTGGAGAATTCAGGCCAGATGGCTTGTAACATGTTCTGCAGGCCAATTTTGTCTCATTTCCTCATGATTCATTTCTCATTTTTGAACTTTGAAAGAATTATATAGAAAGGTCTTGGTCTAGCTCCATTTCTGTCTATAAACTTTGGCGGTGTGATGAAAATCCCCCATAATGTCCTTAAAGTCCCATATTGCCTCAAGAAGTCCTGTTTTCTAGACTCGTGCCAACAATGTCTGTAGCAGTGGAGTATAAGTTGAGACTGTAATCAGTTGAGAATAATTAGGATAATTATTTCAATCTATATTGCTGCAGATCACTAAATTTTAAAAGATACTAATTAGAAGCCTGAATACTTAATTTCACTTTTGTCACTAAATAGCTTGATGACCTTGGACAAATCACATAATTTCTTAAGGCCTAAACTTCCTCACTATAAAAAGAAAGGGCAGTTCTGGTGCCTAAAGTTCCTGTCAGTTTGAGAGTTCTTAACAGCCTGAATTTAGCAGCCTGATCTTCTATAATTGCTTCTTCTGGATTATTTGTAGAAAACATCATGTGCTTGATTCATATGAGAACTGTAAATTAGTAAATGGGTACATAAAGAATTTGGTTCCATTACGATATTTCTTTGATTCTAAGATAGGAATAATTTCGTATTTTAACATTGTTGAAATCAGAGTGTATTTAATCAACTTGTATGTATATTATTGTAGCAGTACTTTTTTCCAGAAGCGCTTTTATTAAATTGATAGCATCTTAAAATCTCTACAGTATCTTAAAGAAGTCCAGCATACTATATTTCAGAGCCTCTGAGATCTCTAGAAAGAAATGCTGCTGATTATAATTGTAAGATACCATATATCATAAGACCATTCCAATGTCAAATGTTAAAATATGAAGAATGTGCATCTTAGCATCTACTAAGATTGGATATTAAAGATTAAATTTAATAGGAATTTAATTGTGAGTTTCCCAAAAATGTATGGCATATGTGTCTTAAAATTCTTAAGAAGGGGCATACTAAATTGAAAAGAATTTCTAAACAAACACAGTGAAGAAAAATTTTTATTACTGACTACTTAAGTAGAAAGTGATGAAAGGATAAACATGGCACTTTAAATCATGAAATAATTAACAAAAACCCTTACCTGTTCCCTCAAACTAGAACAGCAGCAAGTAAGCGGCCCAAGTTACACGTCTTCATTGTAAGCTGGTTTATTTCACTAGTTCCCTTTTGTTTTTATAGTGTATATTTTTGCTGGTCTATAAATGTACTGATAGTTTTTGACATAATCATCACGTTTGTATCTTAGACTCCAGAATTTTATTTTACTGTGTTGAGTAAGTTGCCCTTTTTTTTTGCTTTTGGGTTTTTGTTTTGGTTTAATAACCAGAGAGACGAAATTTCACTTTAGCCTTGGGAAATTATTAAAATACCTATAAATATAGAGGTGCACTTTAAATGAAATATTTGCATTGCAAGTTAGCATATATTGTTATCAGTTATCATTAAATGCTCACCTTGGAGAAAATTGGAAAGAGGCCACATCGCTACTTTCTGGCTAAATAAAAAGATACATGATCTGTTGTATCTTCTCTTTGTGCTTTCATTCAGTCAACATTTATTGAACATCCATGAAAGGAAGAGTACCACATGAAATCTTTCCCTACAATACTGATTAATGCTTAAAATATTTCTATTATGGCTTTTTTGGTTCTAATTTGTCTTTGTGACCTTTCTGGCCTTTGTGCCAGAATTTAACTGTAAATGTCAGTTGAGGCACTGTTTGTAAGCCTTTTGTTTTCTTACCTTATGCTTCTGTATTTGGAGGTTTAGCCACAGTTTCACCTTTCTCCATATGAAATTTCTAAAACCACATTTTTAGTCCTAATACAACAGTTGCTTACAAAAAATGACTAGTCAACTGTCCCAATACTAGATCTTTAAAAAAAAAGGCAGTCTTTTCAAGTGATATCTCATTACTGTCTTATTTACCTGCTCAAAACATGGGAGATCTTATTTCTTTCAGCTTTTCCTACACATCTGATCTGTCTTCAGAAGTGGGCTGCATGCTGATGACATACTTGTTCCAAAGGTGGAGCTTTTGCATAGGCATCACCTCTAACTTGGCAGTCCTGGTCTCTCCTTCAAAGCCTAGTTCAAGTCTTGTATCTCGTGATGTGGTCCCTGGTGGGCCTCATCTGGCTATTTGTATCCCTCACTCAGTCAGTGCTCATATGCTCACACTAGTCAGCACTCATATATTTAGTTGAAGTTTTGGATTTTTTTAAACTGTCTAAATCCTAGTAGTGAGCTAGATTCAGTGCAGCAGAATTTAGTATAATTAAATAAGTGTCTTGGAAGTTTTTACAGTAGTAATTGACCTTAATTTTTTCTTTGTAAATTTATTGCTGCTAAAATTTATTTCCATTATTTTATCTCAGAAATCATCAAAGATGTGAAGTCCACAAAGACAAGTGTATTTCTGCAAGATTGTGTTAGAAGGTGCCTCACATCAAATAATTTTAACAACAAAAAATAGTTTTTACAGGCCCCAATTTTTATACCCCAAAGGTACTATTTTCAAGGTTGGGGGCTGTTTTTCTTTTATTTGAAATTATCTGTTGACTTCCTATTGTGAAAAACATGGGAATTTAGCTTGCTCTCTTAACCTCTCATCACACACGTAGACATACTCTTTTCCTTCCTACAGTAAGTTTTACCTTTTCCTCACATATATTTCAGTACCAAAGTTTGTGGCAATGTGGCTGCTCAGGATTGGGGCACTGGTTCTCAAAGTGTGGTGTAAGGATCCAAGAGCAGTTTCCAAGACCCTTTCAGGGAGTCTCTAAGATCTAAAATGTTTTAATTATAGTACTGTGATATTCACATTCTTTACTCTCATTCTTTCACAAGTGCAGAGTGGAGCTTTCTAGTAGCTCTTTGGCATATGATGATGTTATCATACTGGTAGCTAATGAAGTGTGTTGTTGTGTATTGTGTTTTCTAGAATTCTCTACGTTAATACCTCAGTAGATTGAACGTTGAAGCAGATACGAGGATTCTCTTTTGTTAAGCTACACATCAGAGATTTGCAAAAATGTAACTTCCTAAATATTTGTTTTAGAAAAGTTGTTTTTCCTTAAAAAGTTATTTATCTTAATATGTATTTGTTTTATTATTGTTATGTTTTCAGTAGACACTAAACAAACATCCTGATAAGTTGGAAATAGATCCTGCCGTATTTTAAAATATCATCTTAGTTATCAATATTTAAATTTTATTATGTTTTAATTAACTTTGAAATTAAAAAGTACCATTTTCCTTACCACCTTTCATTTGGCATGCTGTTAGTTAGGAATTATCTAGCGTTTAATATTAGAGTATTAAAGCCTTCATTAGCTTCAACCCAGTTGCCAGAATTTTTGTTCCTGTATTCTCAGAAGAAAGCACACATACCAAGAGTTTCATCAACATGTCATTTCAACCAGTATTTGTCAGGTACCTGTGCTTGGGTGCTGGGAGAGCTAGAAAGAAGCCTGAGAGCCCCTGCCTGACTGACTTGTCCTTGATGCAGATTTATCTCAGTGTCTTGTACTTCAACATCCACACCTACACGGTGAGAATGAATGTTCAGGTTGATGACTTCTGAGTCACTGCAAAATTCTCAGGGATTAAAAAACAAACTGATACTGTGTGCAAGGTTTCAGTAAGATAAAGGTGCTGGGATATCTCAGAAATGTAAATAAATGGAACAAAGTTTTCAAATTAGTACTAAGTTAATCAAAATTTATTCAATATAATTTTTACATAGTTCTTGATTGTTTACCAAGTGATTTGCATGTATTTTTCATTTAATCCTAATGATATCCCTATGAATTAGATATTAATTCGCATTTTACAGATGGCCAACTCAGCTTTCAAATGGTTAGCTGAGTTGCTCAAGGATGCATAACGGTTGGCCTCAAATTTTAGGTGTTTTGAGTTCTGATCCTGTGCTTTTACTATATAAAAACAATATATTCCTTAAGGATTTTAAGTAGTTGAGGTTCTGCTAACCATGGTAAGATATTTTGAAGAATATGACAGTCTCTAGTATAGAGTAACTATACAATTAATCCAAATCAATAATAGAAATAAATAGGAATTCTCATCTTGGTTATAGATCATATAAACTTTGTGAAAGGTTGGACTTGAATTTGAATGTACATTTTTGGCTAGAGTTTTCCTTGTTTCAAACCATTAAAAATCTTTGAACATGTTGTTTTATAATCTTCAGGACTAGTTTCTGACCATAATAGGGGAATACATTCAGAGCATTCAACAAATACCCAAAGTAAAGGAATAAATTACTTGCCTACACATAGTGTTAATTTCAGTGTAATATTTCAGGAATTACAAATTATGAGGGATTTACCCACATACGCTGATTGAAAGATTCAGACTGCAAACTGGGGAACAATATTATATAGAGAATTTTCAGCTATCAATTAAGAGTCTAAGTTAGTTGTCTGCTATTAATTTCATTAGTGCATTTTAAAATTCTTTCTTCCCCTCTTTCCCTATAGGTTTGTAAAAGAATGGATTTGGTCTGCCAGAGAATGTTGAATCAGGGATTTCTTAAAGTGGAGAGATACCATAATTTATGTCAGAAACAAGTTAAAGCACAACTCCCAAGGTAGATATGGCTAGCAGAGACAATTTATAAAGGGAAGTTTTGTTTGGTTGTTTCTTGGGGTTTGTTTTTTTTTTTAATCTTAGTAGGCGTTTACATGTTAAATGGTTTCCAGGTACCCAGATCACAATAAGTGATTTTTACTATGGTTTGTCCACTCTGATCATTTCTCTTCAACATTTTACTAGAGGTTCAAGCCAGAGTGGTTAGACAAGAAAATAAAAGACATCCAGATTGGAAAGGAAGAAGCAAAAAACTTTCTCTTCATAGATGACATATTCTCATATATAAGGAAGGAATACTATTGCTGATTATTAGAACTAGTAAACAAATTCAGCAGGGATACAGGATATAAGATTGATAAACAAATATCAGCTACATAATTGTATACACTAGCAATAAATGATCCAAAAATGAAAGTAAGCAGACAATTCTATTTACAGTAGCATCAGAAATAGTAAAATACTTAGTAGTAAATAGAACAAAAGAAATGGGAAACTTGTACACTGAAAACTTGAATGTTAAAAGAAATTGAAGAAGACTTAAGTGGAAAGACATTTCATGTTCATGGATTGAAAGACTTCATATTAAAATGGCAGTACTCTCCAAATTGATCTGTTCATCCAGGGCAACCTCTATCAAAGTCCTAGCTATCCCTTTTTGGCATTAAGCAACAGAACAATTGTATAATCCCTGTGGAAATACAGAATACTGAGAATAACAATCTGAAAAAGAACAACAGAGTTGGTGGAGGACTGCTGCTCCCCAATGCCATCTCTTACTGTAGATCTTCAGTAATCACCTGTGTGCTGGTGCAAGGACAGACTCATAGATCAGCGGAGTAGAACTGAGAGTCCAGGAAACAAACCCTTATACTTGCAGTCAGTTGATTTTCAACAAAGATGTCAGACAGTTCAATGAGAAAAGAAGAATGTGTTCAACAAATGATGCTGGGACAACTGGGTATCTATATGCAAAAGAATGAAGTTGGACTCCTTGCTCACACAGACTCAGATTGTGGACTTCAGTATAAATGTCAGTGTTATACTATAAAACCATTAGAGGAAAGCATAGTACTAACCTTCATGAACCTGGATTAGCCATTGGTTTCTTTCATATGACATCAAAGCACAAGTAACAAAAGGAAAAAGTAGGCAAACTGGACTTCATAAAAATTCAGAACTTCTGTGCCTCAAAGGACATCAAGAAAGTGAAAAGACAACCAACAGAAGAATATATTTGCAGCCCAACATCTATATCCAGATTGTATGAAAAATTCTTAAAACTCAACAATAAAAAGACAAGTAACCCAATTTAAAAGAGATGGACTAAGGCCAACAAGCACATACATGCAAGATGTTCAACATCATTAGTCATCAGGGCCTTGCAAGTGAAAACACTATGAGATACCACTTTAAACCCACTAGGATGCTAAAATAAAAGACAAAACATGTTGGGAAGGGGATGTGGACAAGTTGGAACTGGTGAGATTGTAAAATAGTGCTGCCACTTTAGAAAACCCTCAAAAAAACCAGAGTTTATTTTTAACTTAGGTATATACCTAAGAGAAATGAAAATTTATCCACAAAAAAATCTGTACTTGAATGTTCATAGCATTATTCTAATAGCCAAAAAATGAGGCACAACCCGAAGTCCATCAGCTGATAAATGGATAATCAAAATGTGGGATGTCTATATAATAGAACATTATTCGGTCATAAAAAGGAATGAAATAATGACATGCGCTACAAATGGATGAGCTTGAGAACAATGTGAGTGAAAAGACAAATGCCAACCACATAACATGATTTCAGTTATCCGAAATGTGCAGACTAGGCAAATCCATAGAAGCAAAGTAGATTAGTGTTTGTTAGGGCTGGGGAATGAGGTAACTGATAATGGTTATGGGCTTTCTTCTTGTAGTAATGAAAATGTTCTGAAATTAGATAGTAGTGATCAGTACACAACTCTAAATGTACCAGTAACCGCTAAATCGTATACTTTAAAAGTGAATTGTATTCATTGAGTTGTACACCTGATTTGTGCATCTTACTGTATGTGCCTCAATTTAAAAAAATTGATGCTTGATACATAAATAAGGAAGTGGTATTGGCATAAAATAAATGAAAGGGAACTTTGTTGTATGAAGTATTTCTCAGTAAAACTATTTAAAAAGTTAAAAAGAGCTGATTTTATGGGCAAAAGCATGTGGTCTCTTGTCTGTCCATCTGTAATTCTTTCATTTATCTAATTCATCTGACTCAGGCAGCTGCTAGGCTTGATAAAACAAAAACAAAAACTTTTTTTCTTTTTAAATACCTTATTGAGTACTAGTCCTTGTTGGCAAGGATTTCTGGACATAGTGATTCATTTTGTTACATCTAAATTATGACCCAATTGTAGGTTTCTAAACCAACATGTACATGTTGGACTGTTTATTAAGGCATTTTGATTGCTTAACATGTAGTCCACTGTGCTGCTTTAATGTTTCTTTTTTTTATTACAGGAGAGAGTCAGAAAGGAGAAACCATTCATTAGCTCGTCATGCAGACATTCTCGCTGCTGTTGAAACAAGGCTGTCACTTTTAAACATGACTTTTATGAAGTATGTGGATTCCAATCTCTGTTGCTTCATCCCAGGAAAGGTACAACAGAACTGTTTACCTAGAACAGCTGGATTGCACTGTGTAAACTTTAAATCATTATAAAATTCTAGGGTGATTTTTTTTTATGTCAGAATTGTTCCTATTTCTTGGGAATGAGATTCAATGAATGGATTTGTTTAGCTTTGTACAGTAACTGATACAAATATGTATCATTTACATGATCTTTAAAATTCCAATTATGAAATATATACATAGGAGGAGTTATACCATTCTTTAGAGAAGCTTATTAAAAGTTCTATTCAAGTACACATTTTTGGGCTTACGCTCTTTGTTAAGATGCCAGATAAAAAGAAATGAATGAGGTCAGTATTGTCCCTGACTTCAAGATCGTTACAGTTTAGGGAGGTGGAGTAGAAGGGGCAAGCTGGTTCTTGTTTTGTATAAGAACTGTTTGCTGAAGACAGGTTACATCCTTCCAGAAATAATTACTGTATAGCAATATACTCAGAGTGCTATTAACAGTGCTATTTCACACAGAAATAAGTGTGTTGTGGCATGTTTACTAAGTTAACAAAGATCCCAGCATTCAACATGCTAATATCCAGTAGCATTTTTGTTTCTTGAATTGAGTGTGAATTCAAAAGAAATATGCTTAAATCTTTTTATATGAAAGGGAGGTGGAGATGGACTTAAAGGTAATTTTGCTACTATTTGATACTAGCAAAAAGTTCGTTAACATGGTTAATACCTAGCAAAAATTTGAATGGTCTTATTATTTCCATAGATAATTAATATTGGCAATATTTTGTACGTTCTCCATTTTTTAAGTTTTTTATGGTGTCTTTTGGGGGCAATCCTGTTTCTTATTTTATTGATTTATTCTTATTTCTTATCTTATTTATCATTTTCCTCCTGTTAGCTACACATGCTTTTGTAGCACACTTACTATAAAATAGGAAAGATGACTGTCCAGTCAGCAACTTTAGATTCTGATTCTTAGGCCAGATTTATCCATATCTGGTTTATAGGCCTTAACTCTAGGCATTCCTGGCAAGTTCATCAAACTAGTATAGGTTGCCCCTGTGGCCTCACAAGTTTTATTGCCTATCTCATTGTTACAGATATGAATATGTGAGAAACATCTTAAGAGTTCTCATTAACCTCAGAGACAGTTCGGTGGATCAGTCGTTACTAACGAGTTGAGTGTTGCAGCAGAGTCCATATCACCTGCAAAGCCTAAGATACTCAGCATCTGGCCTTTGCAACAGTAGCCAATCTTTGTTTCAGATGATGGGAATCAGGTGATGGGAATGCCGGTCTCCGCTGCCTAAACAAATGAGGTCAGATCCAGTTGAGTCCTACTGTTTTTTGGAAACCACTTGATATTTTTCCTTTAATTTCTAGTGCCAAAATAAACAGCAAAATGTGGCAGTAGTGTTGCAAGGTACAGTGGGAACCTGTGGGCATTAACTCTGGATAGCTACTTACCTGAAGCCTTCACCTTGGCCACAACAAAAGAGCAGTTGAAAAGGAGTTTTGTACCTGACTTTACCTTGTAGGATAGAGACCTGCCTATTGCTTTTTCTTGTCATTGCACTCTTATGCTTAGGAAATGCTTTCTAATCCTTGGAGCGCTTGGATCTGTCTCATTTGCTTTTCCCCACAGCCATGTGAGGTAGCTGGAACAAGTGTGTTCTTGCTGTTCTCAAGTAGGCAGGCTGAGGCCCAGAGGCCCTAGGTGGTGATGACAGCTACATCCGAGTCTGCTTGATTTCTGTCTTGCATTTTCCCTTAGTAAAGGACCCATTTCTTCACAACAACTTACCCTAAGTTCTTTTTCTCCTATAAACCTGAGCTAAATGGAAAAATAACCCCCAAAAAACAAGTAATTTTTTTTATTATCACACTTAATTCAGCATGGATTATTTTCTTTAAAGTACCATCTTTATAGCTTATATTTTGCCTAAAGCAGCACTGTGTATACCCAGAATATTTTTTGTCTTTATGTAGTTGGTACTTTTTAGCCTACTTAAGACTGAAATGAAACTGCTAACCAAACACAGTTTACAGTATTTCAGTTGTTTTATGATTATTCCCTTTTTTGTACTTCTCATCCTTAAACTTCCTACATTCTCTTTAGAACATAAGACTGTGGCATTTAATTTCCACATGCTTAAGTAAGAATGTTATATGAAATGATTTTTCAGTCTTTCTTTCCAGTCTTGTTTTGCTGTGTAGCTTCTGTTGTAGGGTATTCTAGTTTTACCCAAGGTCATGCTCCGGGGTTATACTTAAAAGAAAAAAGTTCAGGAACTTTGTAAGTGAACTTGCTTTTGTGGTTTTGTATAGAATATATCCATTTTGTTAAAATTCAGGCCTACCATAATCATTCTGTTTCACAAATTATTTTTCACACGTAAGTTGAATGTGGGTAATACCAACATTCTAGTTTAAATTAGATTGTCTGGTATGCACCAGAATTTTGGATCTTTTAACATTTGGGAAAAACTATTTTTAAAATTATTCCCTGAAAGAGCAATCAAATTTACTCTTCAAATTAAACAGTAGGTTAAATTTGATAGATTGAATATATATTTACCTCTGATTCCTCCCAAAATTCTTTTCATACATAAATGAGCTAATTTTAAAAAGTTAAAAGAGACACATGAGAATGAGATCAGGAAGGATATGGCAACAACACAGCTTTGGAAGCTAGAAAGTAGGTGAGCAGGCAGTTACTGACTTAGCAGCACCAAGAAAGTTAGATCTTAAACGGGCAGTGGGGAAGCTGCGAGGCAGCCCAGCCTGCACAGCTGAGCCTCTGGAAAACTTTGGCGTTGACCTCCAAGAGCCTCTGATGAGGCTGAAATAGAAGAGTCATTTGTAAGTGTGTACTTAGAATGATTTAACCCCCCTCTCCAGCTCCAAACTAGATTATTGCTCTTCTCAGTGAGAACCTAGGTGTATTCACTGGAGGGGCTTAACATGGGGTCTCTTCAGGTTGTTGCAGTAGGAGAGGAGGAGGTGGGGATGGGGGAAATAGGTGAAGGGGGCATTAATTAATGAGAGTGATACTTGATGGGTGATGGTTACATGAGTATGTACACATGTCAGAATTCATCAGGCTGTACACTTGAATAATGAAAATTAAAATTCCCTGCTCTTTAGGGGAAAAATTGGGGTCTCTTAACAGAGACCATACTGATAGCAAGGGTATTAAAAGAAAATCTATCTAAAGAATTCAGACTATTTGGGAGTTTGCCACTATTGTTTATGGCAAGGGATCAGCAAACTTTTCTGTAAGGGCCAGATAGTAAATAGGTGTAGCTTTTCAGGCCACACATTCTCTGTCAGAACTGTTCAACTCCTGAGCAGCAGCTGTGGGCACCATGTGGTAACATTGGGTATGCTTGTGTTCCACTACAACCTTACTTAGGAAAATAGGCACGGCTCAACCAAGGCCATGGTGGCTGGCCCTGACCATGCTGTATTGATACTCCCATTTATCTTCTCTCAGATCTAAGAGAATTGTAGATTGTTGACTTACTCCTGTAATCATTTCTCAAGTCTTCTGTCACTCAGACATTTTACAGTAAGTTCATGGTCCGTGTCAGCAGTTCACACGTACTGAAGCACACACATGAGCAGAAGCCAGCTATCCATAGTAAGAGACATAATAACAAGACCCACAGGCAGCCCTGCCCCTGCTTATTACCAGTGGCCCTGGTAACCATTTGTGCTTACTGAAACTTAGCAATCCCCAAAAGTCAGAATGTTTACAGTGTAAATGATCGTGCAAGGTCATGAAACTGGGTTTCCCTGAACAAACTTAAAATCTACATACTGTCTATTTTTAATGTTTGGAGGAAAAGAACACTGGTTGGTGGTGGTGCATTTTTAAATTTTTTATAATTTACTTTAATATAATTTTACATTTACACAAAAATTGCAAGAATAGTACAAGGAACTCCTGTATATCTTTTATGTAGATCCAGCCATTACTTATCTTTTGTCTCATTGTTTTCATTCTCTCTACATACTGCTTTATTTCCTCAACTATTTGAAAGTAAGATGGAGATACTTTGACCTTTATTCTTAAACCTTTTATTGTATTCCCTAAGAACAAGGATAGTGTCTTACTTAACTACAGTACAGATATTAAAATCAGGAAATTTAACACTGATAAAATGCACTTATCTAGTTGCTAGGCCATATTCAGATTTTATCACTTACCTTAATAACTCTTCCTAATTGTTCTCTTTTACAGTCCAAAATCCATTTCAGGGTCACACGTGGATTCCCTGATCTTCAGTGCAGAGTGGTTCCCTGTGCTTTTGCTGTGGTTTTTCCCCATCCTTTCCCTTTGTTGTGTTTCTTGATCTTTATGTTTTTGGAGAGCATAGATCATTAAGGACTATCCTTTGAGTTTTTCTCATGTTCCCAGAATTTTTGTTTCTTTTAAAATTGATTTCAGTGTGAAGACAATTTAAAAATCAAGATTATTTGGGTGCCTTTCTTCCTTCAAGGAATAAACTTATTCTCATCCCGAAGTAAATATATAAGGCCATGAACCTTTCAAATGAGAAAAAAAATCTATTGTCATATTGAGTTTTTAGATCTTTTCTCTTCCCCAACCAGCCACTCTTCCCCATCTTGGCTGACTAGGGAGTTCTGATTAGCTTTTTATATGCTCCATTCTTAAATACAGGCAGAGTATAGAGAACCACTAGACTAATATGAAATACAGAATAAAACTCATGGGAAAATACCTTTCAGAAAACCATACAAGGATATAAAACTTTAAAAAGAAACTAATATTCTAAGAAATAAGAAAAGATGCCATATAAAGAAATATTCTGAATAATTTTAATGCATTTAAATTTTTTAAATATGGAAGAATTTCTTAAGTTAAATAAAAGGGGTAAGAAGGGAAGTTAAGGAAATCTCAAGTAGAACAAAAAGACAAAATGAGAACATATGAGGGTCAATATTCTAATAGGAGCTTTATTTGCTAAACAGTAAATTAAACAAAATGGAATTCTGTCTCACCTACAACACTCCAAAGACATGATATTCATAGTATAGCATTTATAACTGTGCCAATCTGAACATAAGTACTATAGAGTGAACTGCATGTGCTAGAAATGTGATGGTTGTTCACATTTGATTTGTACCATACCTTTGTAAAAATAAAAATATTTTTCACAACTTAATTATCTCAAGCCCAGGTAGGATTTGGCATGTGGTATATTGTTTAAAGGGCATAAAAACAGCTAGTCAGAGTTTTAAGTGATCAGCCTAAGTGCACCCTCCTGTTCTAACTTCCTGACCCATTGAAACTCTACCTGTTTCTCATTGCCAAGGCCTTCATCAGGCATACCCAGTTCTCTCAAGCAGATCCTGTCTCTACATTCTTTCTTGGCACACAGTACTTTGCTTGTCCAGTTTGAGCTATGCTTTGTTGTTTATGGGTCTGGCACTAAGTCATCTTGCTCTGGATAGGGTCTGTGTCTTTCATGCCTGAATCATTATAATAGTATTTTCTGGTCTAGCTCATACTGTGAATATTCTTCTGTCTACCAGTATTTGTATATGTAACATAATATAAATAGATTGACTAATAAAGCTATGAATATTAAACAGTTTCAGAAATTTTGTATTTTTTTAAATCCCTCTCAATAGAAATTGTGAGTGACCTTTATGTTCAAAATCTGACGTCTAAAAATCATATTTTTGTATTGAATTTAACCCTGTTGGTTGCTCCTAAACAATTTTATTTAGATATGTCAATATTAAGCAATGTGTAATTTCTGACCATCTCTTACCACTCATCTGACAAACACTTACTGAGTATGTGCTATGTGCCAGACATTGTTGGACAGTAGAGATGTGATGGAAAACTAGATACGAGCTCTTCTCTCACTGTGCTTAGTCTGGGGGAGACAGACAGCAGAAAGATGTGCCTACAACTTGTAATGTTTGTTCTGAAGGGAAAATAAAGGGCTAGACGAAGATGTTAATAGGCTGAAATTGGAAGAGGGTTCAGAAAAATACTACTCTTGAGAAAGGGAAATGTCAGTGAGATCTCACATATGAGTGAGGAATTGGGGGTTGGAGAAGGAGGGGGATATGCCAGGAGAACAATCTAGAAAAGAGATCATATTGTGCAAAAGCCCTGGGGCAGAAAAGGACCAGAGGGCTTGATTAGTTGAGAGCTGATAGTCACTTTGTATCTGTAGATGCAGCATACTAACTTAGAGGACAACATAACATGGAGGCTACAGTGCTTCTTGTAACGGGTAAAACTTTGATGAGAACTAAACTACTGCAGATCGATTAACATACTAGTACTGCACATAGAGTCTCAGTCAACATGAGGACCTTTTAAAAAGCACTGTATTTCTACTCTGGTTTATATTTTCAATTTTATTAACCATTTCTTAATTATGTACAAACATTACAAATTTTTTCAAACCTTGGAACTTCTGCTGGCCTCCATAAACATGTACTCTTTGGACAGAGGTATGGATTGCATACTTCCAGCTCTTGAACTCCTTAAACAAGCCAAGCTGATGCTGGCCTTGAAGCCATTGCCATTATCATCCTGTTTGACACACTTTTCTCCCCAGGTCTTCTTCACATGACCAGGTCTTGCTCACTTGGTCTTCCCCTAAATATATAAAGGTGGCCCTGCCTGACCACCTTATTATTTGTTTACTTTAGCTTCATGAGAATGAGAATCTTGTCAGCCTTGTTCACTGTTTTCACTCCAGTTCTTTGAAAGTGATATGTACATAGTAGAACTCAATTAATGCTCAAATAATGTTTATCATACAAGTTAGGACATGCTCAGATAATTGATTTGTAAGCCCAAGAGGAAATACCTTTTTTTTTAAATATATGTAATAGTTCCTAATATAAAGTTCACTAAATTATTGGGTGAAAAAATGGTATTCTAAAATGGGTTCCAAATCTAGTGTTAATGCGAAAAATAATTGTACCACTTAACCACTAGTGTCTCAGAAATCTGCCTTTGCCTGTCGTAACTCAGAATGTTCTCTTTTGGCAACATCAGTCCCTCTTAGGCTGTCGGCAACTGAGGCCCCACCATCATCTGCAGTTTCTCTCCTGAACCCCTAAAGGGTCTGTCTCCGGCTGTGTGCTGGATAGTTCCCCTGCATGTCACACATGTTTTCAAGCTAGCATGTCTCACCTCTTACTACATCTGCCTACATATACACCACCTTAGCGTGGGCCATTCAATCTTTCCAGGTCCTTGTGCGAGGTCTTCTCGGATTCAGGATGACACATCATAACAGTTACTTCACTGACATTTATTTGTTAAGCACACAGGCCTAGGCTACAAGGGTTGTCTCACTACACTGAGGCTGGGGAGCATGTGTCCTGGGACTGGCATGCAAACTGCGTGGGGCAGCACTCAGCAGCCTGAGTGAAGGAGAAATGAAGGTCAATCATAAGGTTGTTCTAGAGGTGGGACTGGCTAGATGAGTGCAGCAGGAGGGGTGCAGGGTGGTTTGAGATGTGCTGGTCTAGGGTTGATTGACCCACGATTCTTGTGAAGATAAAGACCCATTGGAAAAGATGTCTTCTAGACTGGAAGTCTCCAGGCATGTGGGTTATCAGCTTTAGGTTTCTGCTGCAGCCAAGAGAAGTATTAGTAAGAATAACCTCACAAGGATTAATGCCAAGTGCAGAAATGCCTAAGGAAGGTTTGCTGCCATTCCAGCAAGAGAGTTAGGAACCAGGGTGGTCAACCTTGCTGCTGCTTCATGTATGTTCTGCTTGTGTTTCCCCTTTGCACTGATCCTTAAAATAAAAAGGACAGCAAGTGGGGTGTGAGGCGTCCTCATTCCAGTCCATAGCAAGTGTCAGAGAAACAAAACGAGACAGAACATGTGGTGCAAAAGAAAGAAGGAAATCAGGCTGAGTCCCTGGGGCTTCAGGAAACAAATGGGCTGGAGTGAGGTGGGCTTGGAGGACTGGAGAGTGTGGGTTTGGGTTATTCTCCTCCCTTTGCCTGCTCTCATTAGGGTCTGATTTCTTAGTAGTCCTCAGCTTTTTTTAGCTATCTGCATATCCCAGTTGGCATCATTTACGTCTGTCTCCCCAGTCATACTGATTTTCTTCTGGACAGGAGCTATGTTTTATTCATCCTGATTCCCAGCATAGTACCTGGTGTAAAAGGATGTTCACTGAATTTAAATATGAAACATACAAAGTACAACCAGCCCAAAGCCATGTGTTACAAAGGTAATATTATTAAGGGCCAGTGTATACCTTAAAGCACCCTGTAGGTCTTTGCAGGAATTGCAAAACAAGTGGTCACTTCTCTCCCTACTTAACTGTTTACTTTAAAAAAATAAAATAAAAAATGCTAATGAGAACTCATTATTTTAGGTAATTGATGAGATTTATCGTGTGTTGAGATATGTCAATTCTACCAGAGCCCCTCAACGAGCTCATGAAGTACTTCAAGAGTTAAGGGATATTTCCTCCATGGCAATGGAGTACTTTGATGAAAAGATTGTTCCAATTCTGAAGAGAAAGTTACCAGGATCAGATGTATCTGGAAGACTCATGGGCTCTCCTCCAGGTATCTCTTACTTATAATGTTTTCAGTTTATCTTAACATTCATATGTAGTGTTGTAACTTTCTTTCCCCCACTTGACCATGTATCTTGACCTTATCTGTATTTGTAAATATATATACATGAAATCACTTTTTACGACAGATTGAATTACAGACCCTAAGTTTTGTAACTGATCCACTGTTGTTAAGCACATCTGTCTCGTTTTTCAGTATTTACACTGTGAAGAACAATCTTATACCTAAATGTTTGTACATATCCACAACTATTGACTTAAATTTGTTAGAATTGCTTAGTGAAAAACTATGCATATGTTTTTTGATATTTCTAAGTAGTTAACATCCATTATCATAAAACAATTAAATATCCTTGATAAAGTAAAAAAACTATTTATAGAAATACCCAGTTAATTATTTCAGCCCCCAGTTATCTGGCTGATACTTAAAAGACAGGGTACATAAGACTTATTTTGTCACTACTTCTATATCTATTTTGCAGAAGTATATTGGGTCCTGGAGACTTGTGTCCTTACCTACTGAAAGACTAAACATGCAAAATACCTTCAACCCTTGCAAATACTTTAAAAATCAGGAAAAAATTTACAGTAAAACATTTTATTCAATTAGTTAACTCCCTGGAGCACTCAGCAGGGTAGCTGAGTGGCTCTGTAATTAAAAGATAAGACCCATGGCATTTCAACATTACTTCACATGTTATTAGTTGAGTACCTCTTGTGTGCACAACGCTGCACTGTGTCCTGTGGGGACTAAAGAAGTGTAAAGAAGTGGGGTCTGCTCTAAAGGATGTGCTGTTTCAAAAGGTAAGACATATCCAGACTCAAATTATTGTAGGCAAGAGAACTGTTTTAACAGAGTGTCCATCTAAATGTGAAATCAGTAGCAGAGACACCATCTTAAGAAGATAAAATTGTTGGCTAGTATGATTGAGACTTCACAAGACTGAAGGATTGAATTGAGACTTGATGTGTTAGTAGAAGCTGGATAAAGATCAGAGATCGAAGGAATATATTAGTGAAGGAAAATATTCTGGTTGTTTTAGATGTACAGGAGAAAATTGGCATCATGGGTTCAGGAATGAATGGATCCATCTGATCCTTTTAGAAAACCTTCAGGACAATTAAAATTTTTGTTTGTTGTTTTTTTTTAAGGAATTTTTTTAATGTTTTTTAAAAAAATAGGTTATTAAAACTTGGTGAAGGGGGAGTCTAGTAAACATAATGTTCCTCATGTAATTGTAGATTAATGATACCAAAATTTTTAAAAAAGTGAAAAAATGTTATTAAAATAGTGACTTTTATGCCCATGTTTCATTCTGTTATTCCTAAAAACAGAATAGTTGTAAAGCCTTCTATATTGTGTCAGGAATTCTTCAAGATCATCATGTATGATGTGGCCCACTTTTTAATGGCAAACCTATTGTTTGGCTAAGGTTGAAACCTTTGCATATAACTAAGTACAGACAGAACTTAAGATTGTGATAGGACTGTACTTCTAACTTGAACTTGAATGTGTATGTTTGCTTATATTATATAAGATAGAAAATAATCTAACTTCACTATATGTATTTTCATACTAGGTCCTAAAAGTGTTTTATAACATTTTAATCCCATTTTATGCCATTAAATGTCCTTCTCCATTTCCTGGCAATCCACATATTGCCACATGAACATAAGAATCAATTAAAACTCATTTATAGTTAAAACAAGGTGTCTGATTACTCCATTAGACCAAGTGATTACAAAGGAGAAATTACAAAAAGTGATACCATAAGGATATTCCATTTCAAAGTAAGTTTAATTAAGGATCTGTTACTGGTAGCAGGATATTTTAAGTGACTGACCATTTTAAACTATTTTTCCACAGTTCCAGGACCTTCTGCAGCTCTAACAACAATGCAGCTCTTCTCCAAGCAGAACCCTTCAAGACAAGAGGTTACCAAACTCCAGCAGCAGGTTAAGACAAATGGTGCTGGTGTGACTGTTCTCAGGCGTGAAATTTCTGAGCTTCGCACCAAAGTGCAAGAACAGCAGAAGCAGCTTCAAGACCAGGACCAGAAACTGCTAGAGCAGACCCAGATCATAGGCGAGCAGAATGCACGCTTGGCAGAGCTGGAACGCAAACTACGAGAAGTAATGGAAAGTGCAGTAGGAAACTCCTCAGGGTCTGGGCAGAATGAAGAGTCTCCTCGGAAGCGGAAAAAGGCAGCAGAAGCCATAGACTCTCTTAGGAAATCTAAACGTCTCCGGGACAGAAAGTAAATTGGAACGTGGTTCAAGCTTCAGAGGAAGACATCTTAGTAGCTTCAGCAGTTACACGTATCAGGATACTGTGAGCAACCTGGTGTCCCTTAGGCTCCGAGACTTTCAGAACAGAACTTAAACTTGAACTCTCATGGTTGGGACATTCTTTCCCTGCTTTCCTGGTTGAACTGATGCACAGACCTTTTACTTTGCAATAGATTTATACTAACCAGACCTGTCCTATCATGTTTTGAGGAGTTAACTTTTTTTCTGTGCAGATAATGTTTAAAGTAAGTTTGTTTCTGCATATATGCACATTACGTAAGGAAATTAAAGCAGTCTTGACAGACTAGAAGTTAAGTTTAATACAGAAAATGTCCTGTTCACTTGAAAGAAAAGACCTACTTTTTAAATGGACAGTATCTTGTTTTTTAAAGAAAAAAGTTGGCTTTTTGTTATAAGTGACCTTTGTCTGGAATGTCTGAAGAGTAGTAAATGCTTTTTGGTATTGAAGTAATAGTAACTAAAACAGACTTTCATAGTATTGACTGTAGAAGGGCCTCTACAGTGTTGACTATATATTTTTATAAACTACTGGCAAGGGACTTAACCCAGTTGTTACATACATTTTCAGTTCTCTTCTGGAGCCATGTCCTACATTTGCATGGATAGATGCATGCATTGCCTAGTCTGTCACTTAAAGGCTCTTGCACTGGTATTGACCTTGAACCTCTGTATTTCTCCACTTTTAGAGCAGTGTCTTAGTTTAAGTGCTTAACATCTTCACCACAACAGCTTGCCTCGGGTGTGTGGAAGGGATTTGTTAGTCCATTTGTCCTCCAGTTTCACAGGAATGAGAGAATATTAAAGCCTGTTGATTTATCTGTTCTCTGTAGGGTTCAGGTACACTGGCTAAGTCAGAACCCCAAATTCCAAGGCTCTTTGAATCAGTATTGGACCTCTGATAACTAGTACTATTCCAGAGTACCATGTGCTCACTGATTGATCAAATGTGATTACCAGTGGCAACACAGTTTTGTCATTGAAAGAAATCTCATTGGAGAAATTTGTACAAAAAAAGCATTGTGATCATTGTGTTTCTGGGGGGGTGACCTGAGGGAAGCTTTTTAATATTAACTTCAAGCTTTCCTTATCCTGCAACCTTAAACAAAAGCTTTAGTTTTATTTGCACTCTTGTGCTTGTAACTGGAAAAGCATGTCTTGCACTGTTCAACCTTCTAAGTGGTCACTTCAACAACAAATTATACACAGTGGTTATTTTCCCATTGTATGTGTTTGAGACACTCAACTGATACTGTCTTTTATTTTAATGTACTAAATTATGTAGTTATTATTTGTTAAATTCTCTTAAACTGTTGCCTTGGGCTATAGTTACTCAAATTTAGGTGTAATTAGAAAACTGTCCCTTTCCAGGTGGCAGTTTGAAATCTAAGGTTTTGGTAAGTACCTTAGTTAAAAGCACAAGGTTACCACCTTTTTTATCCATTCAACATGACATGGTTATGCATCTCTAGGTTAACCTCACCAAATGGAACTTTTTCTTACCCATTTTTAATATTGTCCTTAGATTTTGAGCAATTCTATGTCTAACTTTGAAACTCCATTTACAATGTAGTATGTTTTCAATGAAAAAACCATAAAATAATATCCAAGTGTTTCATGGTTTGTTGGGAAGGTAATTTTAAAATAAACAATTTCCAAAAACATTTGTCAGCCAAGGTCATCCATAAAAGTCCCCGTCTGGAATTCATTTTCTCAGCAGGTCTCATTTTTATAACCATAGGAATTAGCCATGTTGTCATAATTCTGGAGGAGGCCTACTGAAATACTCATGGCCTTCAATAGTCTGCTTTCCTGGTAATAGGAAGACTTTTTTCAGTAACAGAAATACATTTTTCCTGGTTTACAAAGTATGATCCTTATGTATCAAAGGGATATATAACCTCAGATGATAGCAGTTGTTAATTACTTAAAGTTTCCTGGGTTTCTTTTTAAACTGCATCTAGATACCCTAAACATACCTGTAGTCTCCCATTAGTTAATATATTTGGCTGTCATAATAAGCATTCATACTATTAGAAAGTAGATTTCTTGTTTTAAAATCCAGATTTCTACAGTACACCTGTCATCTCCTGTCTGTAAGAGTAGGGGACTGTATCTGTTACTGCATGAATGTTGTGTAACAGGAGGAGAGTAAGCTCTATGGTTCAGTGTTTTTTAAGTCTTCAATCTCATTTAGAGTATCTGGCTAAAACATGTTAGGATATACTGCCTTGACCAGTTGATAGCTGTTAAACTTGCTTTTGCATAGCATAATGGTATTTAAGGTTCAACAAATCACAAGTTATTTTGATCAGCTACAGTTGATATATGCTAGAGGAAAACTGTAAATAAGGTAACTGAGAGAACCATCCTGCCCTGAATTATACATACTCAGTGATTTTAATGCTGTGTGTTAATACTGTTGTTCTAGAACAACCTGTCATAAAATATTCTTGTCCTCTTCCTTGGCTGTTTTTCAAGGAGACCTCTATGTAATGGGCCATTCCCACTGGTACAACACTACAGACAAACATAGAATGTGAAAAGGCCAGGTAAGAAATGGGAAGGACTGCCCCCCTACCCCTCAGGCCAATAGGACCCTCTGCTTATCTCCCACAGGGACCTGGCTTGGTTTCCACAGACTCTGAAATATGAATTATTTCAGAACATGAGGTTATGGAACCTGTTGTTTTCCAACCTCGTCTTGTACAGAGCCTGAAGTTAATGGGATGAACACAAATGTGTTTACAGTAATCATACTGTTTTAAAAACTATTGGGGTGCCATCAGGTCTAAAGCCACTGGTTTTGGAAACAACTTTTTTTTGTAGAAATGTGTTTTTTAGAGTACTGAACTTTACAGGGACTTGCCTTAATCTGTATTTAGTAGTTTCAAGATATATGTGGTATTATTCTACTTGTTAAAATGTTAAAATATTCTATGTAGCCCCAAAGGTGGGTAAAACAGTATAAGTAATGCCTAGATAAATAAGCTAAAAGGTGTCACTACAGCGGATTTTTTAGAGAAAATGGACATATGAACATAGGCTATGTGTAATAAAAATAATGGCACCTTAAGATTGCACTATTTTATATGCCATTTCATAGCCTGCACTTTAATCTCCAAAGAAACAATGTATGATGTCCCAGTTGTTCCTTATTATTAATGAACTTTTTCCTAAGACAGGGCACTTAATTCTATTTTGCTATACTGAATTAGTTTCTTAGAGGGGGATTCATTTTTTGAGTTCTCTATTTCCTTAGCCATAATATTTGTAGGATCTAGGAACTCCCTATCTTGTCTGTTTCCAATAGCATATAATTTTAATTTAATGTAATATAAAATCTCATACCTGGTGATCAGCACATTCTTATATCCTGCTCTAAGAATGAGTACCCATTTGTTAACACTTATCAAACCCTCTAAAAATAACATGCTGTAAATAAGATTTGAAGCCAGGAATAAAAGACATTCTGAAAGGAAATGTATAAGGCAGTCTCTTGAATGACTGTTTCTAATATAAAATCCAATTTGATATGCCATCCAATTCTTTAACTTGGGATCTATCAGAAGTTCTTTAGTCCACAAAGGTTAATAAATTAAAACTACTTAATAACAAACTTCTATAACCTTCCATCTGAGGTGATCTACTTTCAAAAAATACTAATTTACAAAAGGGAAAACCAATTGACTGCTGCCTGCCATAATTTTACTTTTAATAGCAATATTTATACTTGTGATAAACATGATAGGCTTAAGTAATGTTGGCCTTTTCCAGCTTCCTAAGCATCTCTGTTAACAAATTCTGAAATTCCAAAGTTAAATACAAATTTTTCTCTGGGTCTGAAGAGAGAACCATGAGATTTGGAAACATTGGTAATCTGTTAGGTCCACTGCCAAAGTATACTGATCCATACTCAAGCTATAGCAAAAGTTTAGAGGTGTTTATACTCCTTTATGTGGTACCATGTCTGTTTACTTATGCTCATGAGCATCAATAAACCAGCTTACCTTCTGGAATTTCAACTGTTATAATTAATTCAATAATTGGAAAGCGGGAAACAGCTCCTGGTCACAAAACGGGATGGGAATAAATGTATTGTTACCAGTGCCACTTGTTTTCTTTGTATTTCATGCACAAAAAATTTTGGAGTGCTGCTTCAAACACATGCTGCATTCATAGCTGCCACCTTGTGGAGCACTTTGCTGTTTTACACGTGATTTTAGCCATCACAGATGCCCCATTAAGCAGGTTTTACTCTAGGGAAGTTAGACCCTGGTAAGCAAGCAATACCTCGTGCTATACAAGTACCTGCGTGGCACCTGAGCCTGCCAGCAGTGCTTGTGTGCCTCCTGCTACACTAGCCTACCTTCTAGGACATCTGAGAGCTGTGATCCCATAGCATACATAGGACCATTCCATACATCTGCTAAAAGCTGCCAATGCCAAAATCACTCATGTTAGAGAAACAGAACTTAAAATCAAGAAAAGGCTCTGAGTAGGAGGCAACTATTGTCCTAAAGGTTTTGGCAATGGGCTAACCCTAGGCACACAGGTAAAACACTTCCCAAGTTTTATTTTTAAACAGGCGGTTCTAGCAATAAATAGGGCCTGAAGCCACTAATAGGTCCATAGTCACTATAATACATGCTGCTGATCAATACAAAAGTAGTGACCACCAAGTCTTCGTGGCAGAGAACAATACTGGTGTCTTCAAAATTACTTGCAGCTCTTAAAACAAATATTCAGAACTTCAATGAAAAATCATACAAATCAATATGGTAAAGATGTAATGATAGGGAGTTGCTCAGAACAAAATTCTCGAGCAAACTTTGATATAAGTGCTCCATCCATTTTGTCTAAAACGTAGATGTTCAGAAAAGACCACAGGTGACTGCTGGAGGGTGAGGGTGACAGCAGTGCTGTCAGTCATCCCAGTACTGTCACTGCATTCT